GCCCCGGACCCCCCTTCCCACTGACACCGGGAAGCCACCCGGTGGCGGGGTCTGGAGGCTCCATGTGGCCAAGCCCAGCCCCAGCTCAAGCCGTGGCACATCCCTCCCTCGCCAGCGAGGGTGGGAGCCACGTGAGCCGCACTGCAGAGGGGGCCCATGCAGCCACAGCTCTCAGGGAACGAGTCCAGTGCAAGGGCAGGTCCCAGACGCCAGGGTCCTCGGCTCACTGGCACAAGGCAGCAGCTGTGTCCTGAGCCGCTCGTTCTCCCAGGGGGCTCAGGGACCTTCGAGAGCAAGGCTCGGTGCCAAGACCCCTAGCCCACCGCCTCCTGCAGCTGCAGGTTCTTCTGGTAGCAGGCCAGGCTGCAGAGGGGCACGCCGGTGCGGGAGCAGGAGCAGAGCGCAGGCACTGACCCCGCAGGGGGTGGGAGAGGGCACAGGGGTGGGGGCGCAGGGCGGCAGGGGCAGCGCGGCCCCTGGCGGGAAGGACACGGTCGGATCATGGGGCACGGGGCCTGTTTGGCCTTGCGCTCCCGCAGCATCTTCACCTTGGCCTTGCTGGTCTTGGTGAGGCGCTCGATGGTCTGGTTCTTGTTCTCCTCTGCCTTCTTGGCCGCCTGCAGGCGCCGCTTCCGGGCCCGCTCCTCCCGCTTCACCAGCATCTCCTCCGTCAGCTCCTTGGCCTTGTAGCCCATGGGCAGCTCCAGGAGCGGCTGGCTCTGCTGCTTGTGCAGGAGGGCTTTCTGCAGGGGCAGAACAGAGGAGATGGGCAGGGGCTTTCCCCACTGGGGAACCGGCTCCAGGCCAGCCCCAGGGAGTGTGCGTGTGTCCAGGAACAGGCCTCTCTGCAGGGAGCCTGGCAGGACACAGGCTCTGAGGCACCAGCCACAGCAGAGTTTTGGGCCCAGGTGGACTCTGTGCTACCTGGCTCCTGGCTGCACAGAGCCCCAACCCCCAGCCACTGCAGCGCGTGGTGCTGGAGCCTTCCCAGGCCTCATGGGGGAAGAGCTGAATCTACCCCTTGGAACTGCCACACGGAGCCGCTCCCAGTCCCCCTCACCTGTCTGGCCGTGAGCAACGACTCGTCCACCTCCTTCCGAAGCTCGCCATTCTCGTCCAGCTCACCCTTCTCCAGCGCGTCCAGCCAGCGCTCCTCCTCCTCGTCCTCGCGGGCAGGGACGCAGCTCTCCGAGTCCAGCTCCGGCAGGGGCAACGGGTCCAGGTTACTGTCTTCATCTGGGCACCCCAGCCAGGAGACACAATGATACCACCTGCCCTGGCCAGGCCTCGCCTGCTCCCAAGAGCTGTGTCCCGGGGAGAAGGCCCAGCAGACCCCCACTAGGACCTGGCTGCCACTTGCTTTGGCCCTGAGAGTCAGGGCCGCAAGAAACCCCGGCCGAGCGTCCACACTGCCTTGTGGGAGCTGTGCCCTTGCGCAAGAAATCCCTGCCGAGCGTCCACACTGCCTTGTGGGAGCTGTGCCCTTGCGCAAGAAATCCCTGCCGAGCGTCCACACTGCCTTGTGGGAGCTGTGCCTTTGCGCAAGAAATCCCGGCCGAGCGTCCACACTGCCTTGTGGGAGCTGTGCC